TTTCTTGCTATAAATTCATTAATATGAAAGGAATAAAATTGCTCCATTTGAGGGACACAAACTATCAACTAGCTACAATTACATGATTTATTCTAAACAAAAATATATCAACCATGATTCCCAAGTTCCTTAGTTTGTTAAATATTTTCTTGATGATACTTTATCAATAGAATACTTAGTACCTCAAAGAGTCATTTGTTTATAATCTGTGTAATCACTTCATTCTCTTGAGAAGAATTTGAGGACCATGAAAACAAGCCTATTCCCCACCTCCCTAGTGGTACATCTTCAAAGAATTGAACAAAATAACTTTTGATAAACATTTGTTAGTTAATAATTGAACTCTAGGGATGGCGTCGACATGATAGTACCAAAGAATAGCCTCATGTAATTTTGACTTTGTATTATTGTCTTCAGTTACTCCTATAGAACTTTTAGATCTAACGAATCCTCCATGTTATACCCACATAATTTGGAACATTTATGATTTTAAAAAAGTAGAGATTCAAATGTTTATACCTCATCTTCCACTTTTGGCACTTGTATAATCATAGGAACTTAATTTAATCTCTCTGAATCTCACCTATTTCCTCTATGAAATAAAATTTCAGTTTCAGCTCCTAACTCAAAGTGTGAATGTTCATAAATCACCTAACATGATGTCTAAAAAAAGCAGGTGTTACATAAATAAGATTTATTGTTATATAATTGCAAATTTAGTTCTATCTTAACAAATATATGAATTTTAACATATTGAGAAGATACATTGTGTTCTGGAAGAGACAGGAATGAAAGATTTTTTTTCAGTTTTAACTATATGTGTGTGTGTTTAAGATTTATTTATTTATTTGAAAGTCAGCAGAGGCAGAGAGCACGCTCTTCCATCTGCTGGCTCACTCCCCAGACTGTTGAAAATCAGAGCTGGGCTGATCTGAAGCTAGGAATCAGGAACCTCCTCTGGTTCCCCTATGTGGGTGTGGGGCCTAAGCACTTGGACCATTTTTTACTGCTTTCTCAGTCCATAGCAGAGAGTTGGATAGAAAGTGGAGCAGCCAGGGCTCGAACCAGTCCCAATATGGGATGTTGGCCCTGCAGGCGGTGGCTTTACCCACTATGCCACAGCGCTGACCCATGTGTATTTTTTCCTAACTTATTGGCAGCTAGAATTCTACCCAGATAGAATTTTATTGTTTCAAGAACTGTAACATATTGTTCTGATTCAGTGAATTTTGTGTTTAGTTACTAGTAGTTATAAAAATGATAAATATGCTTATTTCCTCAAGGGAAAAGTGATTGACAAGTTAATGAAACATCTCATATTTGAGTAATGTCTGGATAAAATCTAAAAACAGGAATGAAAATCACCAAAATTATTTTGTCATAAAATGCTGATTGCTTTTAATCATAGATTATGAATTTATTTTTGAAAACCCATAAAACACATATAAGGATATATATATTTACATATATAGTAATTGGTAGTGATATATTAATTTTTTCTTTTTAAAAAGTATCTATGTGTTTTGAAAGGTGTAGAGAGACAGACAGACAGAGACAGATCTCCCATTCATAGCCAGTGTGGGCCAGGCTAAAGTCAGATGATGGGAACACAGTCCAGGGCTCCTACTTGGGTGGCAGAGACAGATACTAATCTAAGCCATCACCTGCTGCCTCCTGGGCATTTGCAAGAATCTGGAATTAACAGCAGAGGCAGAGGTCTGACGCTGTGGTCTGGTAGGCTAGGCCTCCTCCTGTGGTGCCAGCAAAGACTTGAACCTAGGTACTCTGGTATTTTAGGGATTCTGAGCAATGTCTTGAATGGATAGGCCAAATACCCAGTCCTGTTTTCCATTTTTAATAAGCAGAAGATCATTTGAGAACAAAAGATCAGTTGCCTCACAATGCTTTTAGGTGCCTTTGTTGTTGTTCCTTCTTGAACATTCATTGGAAGTGTTATAATTCAAATCATCTGAGTCTTATGGTACTGGTTTTAAAGCTATTTGTATGAAAACACTTCTGTAGGGATCTAAGGCAGCCCACTGCTCTTAGAAGAACCATTAGGAATTGGGGAGGAAATTCAGTGTTGCCTTTTTTTCCTTTCCAGTGAATAGGAGTCTAGATTTGCTTTTTCAGTTACTTTATCAACTCATCCTCCTTCAGATTCCCTACAGCGCTCTGGTGACTCTAGAACTGGTGGAGGTTGTAGGACTAGAAGTGAAGATGAAAGAAGAAGCGACAACGAGAAAGGCTAAATACAGATGGTGTAAGACTTCAGGAAGTGGGGGAGACAGACATTCAATGTTTGTGGGGACTGCAGAAATAGATAGGACAGTAAAGGAATTTGAGGGTATGGCGGTACTTCTTTGAACTGATGCAGACTACAAAGCTCAAAGTTTCCCAGGGCAATATAAAGATACACAAATCATATAACAAAAATTATAAAGACTTCTTTCCCAATTTTAGGGATAAAAATATAACAAGAGTTCCCTAATTTGAGGTTAAATGGAATAGAAGAGGTGAAAAAGAAAGAATAGTTTGAAAAATTGTTTGAAGCAAAATGTATGAAAAGGAATTTTAGATACTACATAATGGTAGTAGGGCACAGAAAATAAGTCGTAATTCTGACATATCTGAATTTTTAATCACTGTTAGATATTTTCCTGCTAAGAAAATTTGAGCTAATTCAGTGGATACCCTTTCTTAACTTCTTATTTGTTGTACATATATATTTGTGTCATTTCCTCCTGTGTTATTTTAGCCTATATAGCCAAGAACTAAACTAAAATCTGGTGAACAACACAAAACTCCCCTTGTGGTTAAAATTTTCAAGCTAATCTTTGTCAATATTTTAAAACCTATACTCCCTTTAATTAATAAGATTTAATGGTATCCCTTAGTATTATTTAATATTAAGGAAAAAGAAAAAAAAAAACTCCTGTGACTAAGAATAAAATACATTCCTGTTAGAAGCACTATTTTCTTTCTTTTTTAAAAAAATATGTTTTTTAATTATTTGAAAGGCAAAGTTACAGAGAGGCGGAGGCAGAGGCAGAGAGAGAGGGAGAGAGAGAGAGAAAATCTTCCATCCACTGGTCCACTCCCCAAATGGCCACAGCGTCTAGAGTTGGGCCAATCCAAAGGCAATAGCCAGGAGCTTCTTGCTGGTCATTCACATGAGAACAGGGACCCAAGGACTTGGACTATCTTCAGTTGCTTTCCCAGGCTTATTATCAGGGAGCTGGATCAGAACTGGAGCAGTCAGGAACTTGAACTACCCATACAGGATGCCATCACTACAGGTGGCAGCTTTACCCACGATAGCACAGCACTGGCCCCAGAAGCACTATTTTCAAATAAATATTTCAAATCTAATTGAATTATTATAAAATGGAAATTTAATAGTATATTTAAAAAAGAATATATTCCTCCAACTATAAAATTTATATGAAGGTATACTTCATGATTTACATTTGCTCCTATATAATTCTGAAAAGCTGTTTTCAACTGTGCTTAAAATGAAACCTAATGAGGATATTTTTGCAAAATTAATTTTATTTAGAAATGTTCACTGTGTTTTATCCTGGTTTCTACATCAAAGGGTGTGTTTGCTTAGAATTCACAAATCTAGATCTAGCAGTGGCAAAACAGATTTGGAGTTTTAATTATTCCTCATTGAAGTGTATTGTTTAAAAATGAATATTTGCATTTTTATAAATCACAACTTTTATAATACATATTCCTGCTTTCAATATAAAATAAACCCAACTAAAAATGCTTTTTAGAAAAATTCAGTGCCAATAATGAAATAATGCAATTTAATTAAAGAAGCCATTTCTCACCAAGCCATCTGTGTGGTGATTGAGTTTTTTTTTTTTAACCAATAAACAAAAATAATTCAAGTGACCCTAATAAAATAATTCAAGTGACCCAGAGATAGTTATCATCCTCAAATAAGTTTTAAAATATTTCTATTATGAAAAAGCCCATGAGAGTATTTCAGGCATGGAAAGCCAAGACACTCTGGCAAAAGATCTCTGTGAGTGAGATCCCAGTGGAAAGAACAGGCCTTCAAAGAAGGAGGTACCTTTCTCTGAAGGGAGAGAGAACCTTCACTTTGACTATGACCTTGTCTAAACAAGATCAGAGTCGGAGAATTCAAAAGGCTTCCATAGCCTTGGAAACTCATGACTGGAGCATAGGGAGATTACTGATGCCATAAACAGGAGTGTCAATTTGTAAAGTCAACAACAGGAGTCACTGTGCACTTACTCCTCATGTAGGATCTCTGTCCTTAATGTGCTTTACATTCAGATTTAATGCTATAACAAGTACTCAAACAATATTTTTCACTTTGTGTTTATATGTGGGTGCAAACTTTTGAAATCTTTACTTAATGTATACTAAACTGATCTTCTGTATATATAGAAAATTGAAAATGAATCTTGATATGAATGGAAAGGGAGAGAGAGCGGCTAAGGGAAGGTTGCGGGTGGGAGGGAAGTCAAAGGGGGGAGCCAATGTAGTCCATAAGCTGTACTTTGGAAATCTATATTCATTAAATAAAAGTTTAAAAAATCAAAAAAATAATATATCCAACAAAGTTCAAATATAAATATATATTCACTACAATAATAATATGCAATAAACTATATCAACTATACCTAATAAAAATGACTATAATAAAAAAAGAACTAAATCATGTTTCCAGATTCTGAACTAGTTGTTCCTTCACTATAATTAAATAAGCCTCTAAATAAATAATTCAAGAATATATATAAAAAAAAAGATTTAGTGCTATTACATGTGAACTATAGAGTTCATTCAGATTAGCTGACTTGGAATACAGTCCTTACAGTGTGTATGAGATATAGACAGACCAAGATAGAGATGTTCTTTGACTTATAATAGTGTTAATTACAAGTAAACCCATTGGAAAATGAAAATATCATAAACAACAAATATAGTAAGCATATATAATCTATCGAACATTATAGCTTAGTTATTTACACAGCATACTGTGTAGTTCAGTCATTTGCTCTCCTGATCATGTGGCTGAGTGGGAGCTGCCTAGTTATTGGAAGAAAGTAATATACCATATATTGACAGCTCAAAAAAGTTATAAATTCAAAGTCTGAAGTATGTTAAATATACATTGCTTTTATACCAAAATGAAGTTGAAAAATCATATACTGAAATGTCATAAATAGGTGATTCGGTTTAAGTATTTATTGGGCTTCAAAACCAGGGACACATGAGTTCAAACCAAATTCACCCATCTGAAAGGCAATGCTGTGGTATGAAGGAGTAGTTCATATCTACCTTCCTGGATTAATGTCCCAGTTCTACCACTTCTTCATGAAGTTATTAGCCTTTGTGTCTCTTAGAGAATGAAGCGAATAATGATAGATGATTGAGTGTGTGTTGACTCAATGAGTTAAGATACATAAAGTGCATTGAACAGTGTCTGAAATATTAGAAAATGTTACTAGTGTTTTTTTTATTTTTAAGCCTTTGTCAATAGTATATTATTTCATAATTAATAAAATTATATTGTAAAACTTGTATCTATAATATTTTATTTTTTCCAATTATCCTTTACTGTGTAAATCTTAACAAAAATATATATTACTATCTTTTACTGTCCTATGCATTGAGTAGTGCAATTGTATCAGTATTACTGGGGTCACTTATGAAGATATCCTGTAATATCAGCTGGAGCTACAGTCATCCGAAGGATGGACAGAGCTGGACTTCCAAGAAGACCACACAGAGCTGACAGTTGATGCTAGATCTATTTTTTTTAAGAATTTATTTATTTGAGGCAGTTACAAACATAGAGAGGGAGAGACAAAGATCAAGGACTTCCATCAACTGGTTCATTCCTCAAACAGCCGTAATGCCCAGGCTGGGCTGATCCGAAGCCAGGAGCTTCTTCCATGTCTCCCACATAGGAGCAGGAATCCAACCACCTGGGCCATCTACCACTGCTTTCTCAGGCCATTAGCAGGGAGATGGATTATGATGTCTCTGACTTTATTTTTGTTGTAAGAGATTGCTTTAGCTAATCAGGGTCTCCTGTGTTTCCGTATGAATTTTTTTTTTTTTTGACAGGCAGAGATAGACAGAGAGAGAGAGACAGAGAGAAAGGTCTTCCTTTTCTGTTGGTTCACCCCCCAAAAAGCTGCTATAGCTGGCACGCTGCGCCGATCTGAAGCCAGGAGCCAGAGGCTTCCTCCTGGTCTCCCATGCAGGTGCAAGGGCCCAAGCACCTGAGCCATCCTCCACTGCCTTCCTAGGACACAGCAGAGAGCTGGACTGGAAAAGGAGCAACTTGGACAGAAACCAGCACCCCAACCGGGACTAGAACCTGGGTGTTGGCACCGCAGGCGGAGGATTAACCTAGTGAGCCGCGGCGCCAGCCTCCATATGAATTTTAGCATCATTTTTCTTAGACCTAAAAAGAATGTCTGGTATTTTGTTTGGGATTACATTGAATTTATAAATTGCTTTTGGTAGCATGGACGTTCGATGATATTGATCTTCCAATTCATGAACATGGAAGATTTTTTTTTCATTTTTTGTGTGTTTTCTTCTATTTCTTTCATGTTTTTTAATTCACATCATTGAGATCGCTAACCTCCTTGGTTAAATTTATTCCAAAGTGTTTTTGTGGCTATTGTGAAAGGGATTGATCTTAGAAGTTCTATCTCAGCTGTGGCATTGTCTGTGGATACAAAAACTATTGATTTTTGTATATTGAGTTTCTATCCTGCTACTTTACCAAACTATTTTATGAGTTCTAATAGTCTCTCTCTCTCTCTTTTTTTTTTTTTTTTTTTTAACAGGCAGAGTGGACAGTGAGAGAGAGAGACAGAGAGAAAGGTATTCCTTTGCTGTTGGTTCACCCTAAAATGGCTGCTGTGGCCGGCACACGGCACTGATCCAAAGGCAGGAGCCAGGTGCTTATCGTGGTCTCCCATGCAGGTACAGGGCCCAAGCACTTGGGCCATCCTCCACTGCACTCCCAGGCCACAGCAGAGAGCTGGCCTGGAAGAGGGGCAACAGGGACAGAATCTGGCGCCCTGACTGGGACTAGAACTTGGTGTGCTGGTGCCGCTAGGCAGAGGATTAGCCTATTGAGCCACGGCGCCGGCCCTCTAATAGTCTCTTAATGGAGTCTTTTGGATCCCCTATAAATAGAATCATGTCATTTGCAAATAGGGATAGTTGACTTCCTCCATTCCAATTTGTATCCCTTTGATTTCTTTTTCTTGCCTAATGGCTCTGGCTAAAACTTCCAGGACATTATTGAATAGCAATGATGATAGTGAGTATCTTTGGTACCAGATCTTAATGAGAATACTTCTACCTTTTCCCCATTCTATATAGTACTGGCGATGGGTTTGTCATAAATTGCTTCCTTCTATATCCAATATGCTTAGAGTTTTCATCATGAAAAAGTGTTGTATTTTATCAAATGCTTTCTCTGCATCTATTGAGATAATCATATGGTTTTATTTCTTCAATTTGTTGAGGTGATATATCACATTGATTGATTTGCAAATGTTGAATCATCCCTATATACCAGGGGTAAATCTCATTTGGTCCAGGTGGATGATCTTCCTTATGTGTTGTTGGATTGAATTAGCTAGTACTTTAACAATTTTTGTTTTTATGCTCATCAGGGATAATAGTCTATGGTTCTCTTTTTCTGTTGTACTTTTTCTGGTTTAGGAATTAAGGTGATGCTGGCTTTCATAGAAGGAATTTGGGAGGATTCCCTCCCTTTCAATTGTTTTGAATAGCTTCAGAAGAACTGGAGTTAGTTCTTTAAATGTCTGGTAGGATTCAGCAGTGAATTAATCCGGTCTTGGGCTTTTCTTTGTTGGGAGGGTCTATAATATAGATTCTGTTTCTGTCTTGGCTATCTGTCTGTTTAGGTTTTTCTGTGTCTTCATGACTCAATTTTGGTACAGTGTGTGTGTCCAGGAATCTATCCATTTCTTCTAGGTTCCCCAATTTGTTTGCATGCAGCTCTTTGTAGTAATTCCTGATTATTCTTTTTTTTTTCTTTCCATTTTGTCTGTTGTTACATTGCTTTCTTCATCTGATTTTATTGATGTGGGTCTTCTTACTTCTCTTTTTGGTTAGTTGATCCAATGGTGTATCAATTTTGTTTATTTTTTCAAAAAATCAGCTTTTTGTTTCACTGATCTTTTGTATTGTTTTTTGGTTTAAATTTTGTTTGTTTCGTTTCTAATTTTAATTATTTTCTTTCCTCATACTAATTTTGGTTTTGGTTTGTTGTATTCCTAGATTCTCGAGATACATTGATAGCTCATTTATTTCATACATTTCCAATTTGTTCATTTGTTCATGCAGGTACCAGTTGCTATAAACTTCTCTCTTAACAATGCTTTTTCTGTATCTCATAAGTGTTGACATATTGTATTGTCATTATCATTCATTTCCAGAACAGTACATATCTTTTAACTGGAGAGTTGAGATCATTTAAATTCAAGGTGATTGTTGGTAAGTAATGACTTGGTCCTGCCATTTTCCCACAAATATTCCTATCATTTACTTTGGATTTCCTTTATACTTTTATTGGGAGATTTTCTGCATTCACCTTCTTTCATAATTATGACTATCTTTCTGTGTTTCTGTGTGTAGTACATCCTTAAGTATCTCTGTAAGGCTGGACAAATGGTGACAAATTATTTCAACTTTTGTTTGTTAAGGAAGGTCTTTATTTTGCCTTCATTCATAAGTGAGAGTTTTGCAGGATACAGTAATCTGAACTATTTTTTTCTTGTAAGACTTGGACTATGTCTTGCCATTCTCTCCCAGCCTGTAGAGTTTTTGATGGGAAGTTAGCTGTGTGTCTTATTGGAGATCCTCTGAACTTAGTCTGGTGTTTCTTTAGTGCAAATTTTAGAACATTTTCTTTATGTTTTACTGAAGAAAGTTTGACTACAGCATGTCATGGTGAAGATAATTTGTGGTCATTTTTATTGGGAGTTCTACATGCTTCTTGTATTTAGAAATCCCTTTCTCCAAATTGGGGAAGTTTTCTGTGATTATTTCCCTAAATAGGTTTTCTTATCTGTTCTCTCTTCCCACACCTTCAGGAACTCCTAAGACATGTATGTTGTGTCATCCGATAGTATTCCATTAATCTCCAACACTGTTTTTTGCTGTTAAGTCTTTCCACTACATTTTTTTATTTGACCTATTGTATTCTTCATTTGTAATATTTCATTTTGATTTCTCTTTAAAATCTCAATTTCTTGGGAAAAATTTCATTGATGTCATGGATGGATTTATTTATTTCATGTAGTTGCTTCTGATTACTTCTGAATAATCCTATGATTAATCTTTTGAATCTGTATCAGGTATTTCATCAATCTTTTCATTTTCACATTCTAATACTAAAGTGTTGTTGTATTCCTTTGGTGGAAGGGGTCATGTTTTCACTCTTAATCTTATTTATTGAATTTCTGTACTTGTTTTTAGGTATTTGAGGAGATACTTATTGGTTTTTCCCTTTGATGTCTTTTAATTTTAAACTATTCCTCTGTGGCTTAGTGGAATGTCTACTCTTTCAGTGAATACCCAAAGGTTTGTGCTAAATGTGGCCAGGAAGTTATAGTTAGTGCTCCAGGGTAGGGCTAGTATGCAGGGTGACACCCTGCTTGTGTGTGGTAGATCTGTTGTTAACAGGAGGGGGCTAAGGCCATTTCTATTGGCTTATTCACACCTTCACCTCCTCTCTTCCAAGGTGATTAATGACTGTGTGTTAGCCCTCAGTGGGTATCATACTCATTCATGCTTCCACATGAACTGCACAAAGGATCTGTGCAGTCCTACATGTGAGCCCAGATCCTTCTGCAGCGACCCACCCCCAGCCAACATGGAGTTCTGAGCTTGTCAAGCCACTCAGTTGTGGGCAATACTGTGAGGCTTCCTGCCTAGCCCATGCAGTTAGCCTGATTATTGGCAGGCAGCAGGACCCCCAGGCACATTTTCTCCACCACCACCTTCTGCCAAAAAGGTAATCTGCTTCTGGGTGTGACCTATGCCCACCTGGAAAGCTACCCTAGCTACCTTGAAGTTGATTGGAGAGGCATATTGCCACCAGTGTTTGTTCTGTCCTATATAATTAGAGTTGCCTTGAATTAGTTACACCCCTTCTGCCTGCCCTTTAAAAGTATATGGGACTGTGAATAAGGAAAGACATGTTCACCAAATCCTGTGCCCGGTGCTTCTTGTGGAAGAACACCGTCACCCCACTCTCCTCAACAGTGCGGCCTCACAGGAACAGTCCACACATAGTGATTGCTCAGAGATCCAGCTACACTTCTACCCTCTCATGCAGTAACAGTGTCCCCATGGTTTCAGCACTCAGTGCTCTTGCCCTACTAGTCTGCCCTGTCCAAAGAGGGCTGAGGGGTTCCAGAACCTGCTGCCTGTGGATGCTACTTATAGTCAGATTAAACCCCAGAGTCCCAGAGCCTATGGTATGCTGAGAGGCTAGGGATACCTCACAGCCATATGTGGGTGTCCAGCCTCCCATCCAGAATCAAAGTCTGGGGGAACATGGATTTTTTCCTCAGGTAACATTCCTGGATCACAGGCATGCACAATACCCTCTGGCTACAGCCCTAATCATTTCACCATCATGCTGGGTGCATACAGAAGTCTCTGCAGGCAGTACTGATGCTGGATTGGCTCCTTCTCTCCACCTGTTTCCAGGTGGATGCAGTGGTGCTGCTGTGGTTGTCTCTGCTGACAAGATGGAGACTGTCCCTGCCAATTGCTGGGTGTGCACACAAGACCTGCAGCAGCTGCTGCCTACCTATGTCTAAAATGGCTCTGCTCTCTCATAGAAGATTGCCGGGTGCCATTGTGGTATAGGATGGGGAGAAAGAGACACAGTCCCATTTCTTTTTGGCTGGGTGAGCCCTCAGATCTAAAAAGCCCATTTCAGAGCCCTCAGGACCCTGGACCAGACTCTAAGACAGTGTAGTCTGCTAGGCTTTCTCTCTGGCTACATTAGCAGTGGCATGAGTTACTGCAGACTGATCTCACCTTGCTTTCTAAGCTGGCGCTTTCTCAGGCTCAGGACTGCTGTGGTCATTTTTTGTGTCCATGCTCACTGCTGAGCATCTGCATATCCCACACAGATCCACAGTGTCTCTCCTTCAGCAGAATCTCCACTGCAGTTTTCCCTCCAACTCTCTTCTGAGAATGCACTTTCTCCACTTCATTATATTATTATTATTGTTGTTGTTATTATTATTATTTGTGTAGTGTGGAGCATACCACCATGTCACCTTTCTGCCATCTTGGAATCATCCAAGTGTCCATTTAATATTTCCAATTTAATAAATCATTTTTAATATTAAATAAATCATCAAATATTAGAGCAAGAGCAAAATCAATCATGTATTTTAAATAAACAACAATTTGTTGCTATGGATTTGATTATATATTCTTTTATTCAGAGAAATTTTTGAGAAATGATTCAAATTCACAATAGAAAATTGTGTCATTTATTCTTTGTTTTCTTTCCGTTCTTTTTAAAAATTTTTGCTAAAACATAATTTCAACTCACACTATATTCACAGGCTTACTGTACCACTAACCATAAAATTCAACAAGAAAAAAAGTAGACCACAGTTGCCAAGGAGTATAAAGGCTAAAAACAATCAAATAACAAGATGTTCATTTCATTCATATAAACCTTTTGTATTTTGTATTAATGACTACATTTCAGAGAAAATACATATTTGTCTTTTTATATTTAAATAAGAAATAGCTGGTGACTGGCTCTGTGGCATGGCATGTAATGCCACCACCTGCAGGTCTGACATCCCAAATGGGCGCTAGTTTGAGACCCGGCTGCTCCACTTCTGATCCAACTCTTTGCTGTGCTCTGAGAAAGCAGTAGAAGATGGCCTAACTACTTGGCCATCTGCATTCATGTGAGAGATCTGATAGAAGCTCCTGGCTCCTGGTTTCAGATGGGCCCAGCTCTGGCTACTGCAGCCATTTGGGGAGTGAACCAGCAGATGGAAGACCTCTGCCTCTGCCTCTGCCTCTGTCTCTGCCTTTCTGTAACTCTGCATTTCAAATAAAGAAATCTTTAAAAAATTAGCAAAAGACTGTGCATTTTTCTTTAAAAACTAACATAAATTCAAATATTGAGACTTCTTGATATTTAAAATTATCTACTATTAATCTGCATATATAATTTGTTGGTGTCCAATACTAAACTTTTCCCTCTCAAATTCAAATTTTATAGCCAACAGTGCATGGGAAGCCTGTACTATAATTATATGTGAAAGAGTGAATGTAATCATTTCAAGTTGATATCTCAACGGAATAATTGGCATAATGTTGCCAAAACTTTAAATAAAGATGATGTTTAATTACAGATAGGATCACTCAGTAGCTCTCTCTCAAAAACCAGAATTTTAGAGAATCACTGAACAAGAACACTCAGGAGAGTCATCTTTCTCTTAAAATAGAGGCCTATATTTGTGCATACTAATTAAATCATGCCTGTTTCATTTTAAAAGTACAGACATCCTACTTGCCCTAAAGATACATTTTATTATCATGTGGAATATGAAATATTATTCTGCTTCCGGAGATAAAAGCAATTTAATTTGAATCTCTCTGGAAACTAGAGCATCAGGACAAGTAGTCATCTGAAACATCCATGGCTATTATTTTTCAGTCAACTGTTTTACACTCTCATTAATACATGTAACATTTGTATATACTAAACTCACTAAAAATGCAATGTCATTACACCCGTCCCTTTATGGATGCAAAAAAATTCAATCGTGCTTATGTCAAGTCATCTTTTCTCAGATATGTTATTTAATTCACACATAGCTTTAGATAGTGGCCAAAGGTAATAAATGGAAAGTACTCTATAGACAACTATGTAGGTATTATTCAGCATATATATTTTGGTTTTTTAAAAAAGTCATTCTGAGATGAAAAAAATTACCCCATTATGGTCTCCTGGGCTTTCTAGATCAGTTTCACAGTCCATGTAGGCTTTAACCAATCATAGCATGTTGCCTAATGGTGTTAATGGGAATTCATTTCTTCTTCTAATTAAACACAGATGTAGATCTAAAATTTAAGAAACAGAGAAAAGCTGTATTCCCTTGCCAAACTCATAATTTCTCTTTTTTGCACACTACCGGGTCATTGACAGTACCCAGGAGCCTAACACAGATGCACATTAATTACTTGTCCTCTAATTACAAGGGTACCAATATAACTGCTCAACCATTCATTACATATTCTTCTCAACTTTGCGAAGCCCCAGAGACATATGTAGGAAGCATACCACTTGGCAACATTAATTGAACCCTATTAACTCATAAAATTTATGAAAAGTGCAGCTATTAATAAAAAAAACCCTCTTTCATTTAGTCCACTAAACCCACAATGTACAAATGATCATTTTCCTAGTGCTGTATATTGGATATCGGACAATGCAGCTGCTCACAGATTGTTAATTATCAGGAATACAACAACAGGATTAGACTAGAATCCTGGTGGTTAAATTAGCTAGGCTAATTTCCCTTTCTGGAAGTTATGCACAGTGGTAGTTAGCTGTATAAGCAAATCTAAACAGGATGCTTAGCCAGGAAGTTTGATTAAAAAACATCAAGAAGTATACAAAAAACTAGGAAAATATCTATATTTAAGCTCAGGCATACCTAATTACTGCACTCTTGATTTGTTTACTTAGAAATAATTCAATTTTCTTTTCTTTGAAAATATTTCTCTAATAATATATTTTACATTTGAAACAATGCTTTTTCAGTCAAATATGCTTTTTTTCTATTCATATGTAGTAAAAGTTTGGGAGATTTATTATATAATCCCATCCTCAAAGCCTGGACTGACAATGATACAATTTGACCAAGCAAGTGATTTCAGGTTTATCTCCTCTAATCCATACATGAGCCTCACCTTTAATCCAATTAATCTTTTTACTATTCTGCCTATATGACACCCCAATTGGCACACAGACTCTGTTATGCACTTCTAAAGAACTTCATATCCCTTTAATTTGAGTTATACCTCAAATTATTGTGCTTCTAAAATTTCTTTTCTCAGGGCACTTTGAAATTACGTAATCTTCAGACACTGACTAAACAAATATTAAGTATTCTTCATGTGACTGGTCACCAAAGAAACAAAATTGAGTCAGATGAAATGTAAAACAAATAAAACAGAGTACCTGACAGTTGAGTGAAGAAGATAGAATAGTATATAATTCAAAACGCAATGTACTAAGTTTGGGAAAAATGGCCTTGTCTAAATAACATCAGAGTTGGCGAACTCAAGAGGCTTCCATAACCTTGGCAACTCATGACAAGAGCCTCAGGTTATTACTGATGTCATAAATAAGAGTGTCAATTGTTAAATCAACAACAGGAGTCACTGTGCACTTACTCCCCATGTAGGCTCCCTGTCCTTAATGTGTTGTACTATGTGAATTAACAGCATAACTAGTACTCAAACTGTACTTTATACTTTATATTTCTGTGTGGGTGCAAACTGTTGAAATCTTTACGTAGTATATATTAAATCGATCTTCTGTATATAAAGATAATTGAAAATGAATCTTGATGAAGAATGGGATGGGAGAGGATGTGGGAGATGGGAGGGTTGTGGGTGGGAGGGTGATTATGGGGGAAAAAGCTGCTATAATTCAGACGTTGTACTTTGGAAATTTGTATTTATTAAATAAAAATTAAAAAAATTTAAAAAAATGAGAGCAAATGTGGTGGAGATAGAAGGAGAATTGGACTCCTAAATTATATACTCTTCTAACTCATTTGCTATCTAGCACATACTGCCACATTTGGCTACATGTATTTCTATTAACCTATATCTTTCTGCATTTGAATTGCCTGTATTTCTTCTTTAGCTTCATATTTTTATACCATAAACTTTTATTTAAAAATTTAATGACATAAACCATGTTAAAAATCTAAGAACATGACTATTTAGATTGTCATTTAGCAATTTGAATAGATATTTATTTACTTGAAAGGCAGACTTACAGAGAGAAGTAGAGACAGAGAGAGAGGTCTTCCATCTGCTGGTTCACTCCCCAGATGGCCGCAATGGCCAGAGCTATGCCAATCTGAAGCCAGGAGCTTCTTCCGGGTTTGCCAATTTGGGTGCAGGAGCACAAGGACTTGGGCTATTTTCTACTGCTTTCCCAGGCCAAAGCTGAGAGCTGGATTGGAAGTGGAACAGCTGGGACTAGAACCAGCACCCATATGGGATGCTGGTGCTTCAGGTCAGGGCTTTACCCCACTGCGCCACAGTGCCGGCCCCAGACAGGATTATCCATTAAATATATGTGAATATAGCTTGCATTATTAAGTACATGGAATCTGACTTTTCTTAGATTTAGCTCAGTTGATCAGATTATCATTTTGTATACATCCATATTGCAAACAGGTTTAAAAAAATCCCATCTTACTACCTATATGAATTACGACAATCCATTGGATGTGGTTGTGTTGTCAATTTTCATTGTTTTTTTTTTAATCTGGGGCTATTAAATATAAAAATAATGCAGATATTAAAATAAAATACCACATTCGTCGTGTGTTAGCAAAGGGTGATGAAATCACTTAGGTTGCATGTTAATTCCTCCTAAAATATGCTGTAGTTTCTGTCCATCTGCAGTTTTATTTTCCAGTTTTGGTTATCCACTATCAACTTCTGTTCTAAAGAAAGGCCAATAGAGTACAGTAAGATATTGAGAGAGACAGAGACAGAGAAGTAATTAACCTCTTATTAAAGTATATTATAATTATTCTATTTTATTATTAATCTCTTACTGTGTCTTCAAATTAAATTTTATCATAAATATATATGCATAAGGAACAATATGGTATGAACAGTGTTCTGTATTATTTGAAGTTTCAGGCATCCACTTGGGTTCCTGGGATTTTTCATTGTGGATAAGGGGAAATATTGTCTATCTTAATTTAGAAGCTTATTACAGAAACCAGGGAGGGAAGGAAATGACATGCATTGGAAAATGTACAAAATATGAACTTCTATTAATCTTGACTCCTAATATATTAGAATTAGTGAAGACCAGATAAATGTGCCTATCCAATTGCATAAATCTCATATGGACTTAAAATATATTATCACTGTGTTTAAAGTCTGCACACAGAAAGTTTATCACTGTCCTGCCATATCAATAAAAAGTAGTTCTAAGTATCATTTCTTCTACCAAGAGAAGATACTCCAATGCCTATAGACAGAAAATAAATTCATAATATAATTTTGGTAAATAAATCAACATAAATCTAGATATTGAGTAACATAGGATTAAAAACAGGTATTAAAGGATTTTAACTACATGCTATTTAAATAGCTGGGACCTCATAATGCCTGGATGAATTTTAAAAAATTCAATGAAAAAATAATAACTGGTATATTTCTTTAAAATAGGTTACATTAATATCACTGCAGACACCAATCTCCATAGAAAGAGTTAACTTCTTCTATCAAGGATAGGTCCAGGATCTGATGGCTTTACCACTGAATTCTACAAAGCTTTTAAAGATGAATCTACTCTTATTTAATACTTTATAAATTATTCAAAAATACTGAACAAGATGGAACTCTGTCAAACTCTTTTTACAAGTCCAGCATACCTCTGATACAAAAATTGCACAAAGACATAACATAGCAAGACAGCAGTTCATCTATTTCTGTAATGAATATAAATGCAAAATCCTCACCAAAATACTAGCAAACTGAATCCAACAAAACATTATACAATGCCATAAGGTGGAATGTATCCCAGAGATGCAAAGGTGGTTCAAGATTCACAAATTAATAAACATCATCACACCAACAGAATGGTGGAACAAAAACCATATGGTCAGAGCATCTCTGCAGAGCAAGCATTGATAAGATTCAAATTCCTTTCATGATAAAACCCTCCACACATTAGGTAGAGGAGTAATATACCTCAAAACTGTAAAGGCTATATATGCCAAACCAACAGACAATATCATGCTAAATGGAGAAATGCTTTCAGATCTAGACAAGACAAGGAAATCCATTTACACTACTCTTTTTTTTTTTTTTTTTTTTTGACAGGCAGAGTGGGCAGTGAGAGAGAGAGAGACAGAGAGAAAGGTCTTCCTTTACTGTTGGTTCACCCTCCAATGGCCGCCGCGGCCTGCATGGCTGGTGTGCTGTGGCCGGCGAACTGCACTGATCTGAAGCCAGGAGCCAGGTGCTTCTCCTGGTCTCCCATGCGGGTGCAGGGCCCAAGCACTTGGGCCATCCTCCACTGCACTCCTGGGCCATAGCAGAGAGCTGGCCTGGAAGAGGAGCAACCGGGGCAGAATCCGGTGTGCCAGTGCCGCAGGCGGAGGATTAGCCTATTGAGCCACGGCGCCAGCCTCCACTACTCTTATACAGTATAGTACTGAGATTATTAGCAAGACCAATTAAGAAGGAGAAAGAAATGAAGGACATCAGAATTGAAAAGGAGGAAGGGAAAATCTCCATGTTTATAGATGAGATTATATATACATGGAAAAACTAACCACTCCACCAAAAACTGTTAGAATTGCTAAGCCAACTCAGTAAAGTCACAAGATACAAAAAATATATTGTTATTATATACTAATAATGATCTAACTGACAGAGAAATAAGAAGAGAAATCCCCTTCACAATAGCAATAAAAATATTCCAAGAATATTTAGGGATAAATTTGACCGATAAAAAAAAAGAAAAAAATTCCACAATGAAAATCTTATGATGAAAGAAATATCAAGAACACACACAAAAAAATGGAAAGATATTCCTCTCTCATGGATTAGAAGATTTAATAACATTAAAATGTCTATGCTACCTAAAGAAATCTACAGGTTCAAAACAATCCCCATAAAAGTATCAATAGTATTCTTTACAGAATTAGAAAAAAACAATTCTATAATTGATATGGATTCACACAAAAAATCCCAAAGCAGCCAAAGACATTTTAAGGGAGTGGTGGTGGAAATCAAGTAGGAGCCATCACAATATCTGACTTCAAAGTATACTACAAAGCCATTGTAATTGAAACAGCAGGGTACAGCTATAAAAACTGACACAAAGAAAGACCAGTGGAATAGAAGGTTGAGCACTGAAAATAATTCATGTACATACAGCCGACTGTTTTTTTTTTTTTTTTTTGTTTTTTGACAGGAGAGTGGACAGTCAGAGAGAGACATTGAGAAAGGTCTTCCTTTTGCCATTGGTTCACCCTCCAATGGCCGCTGTGGCCGGTGCACCACGCTGATCCAATGGCAGGAGCCAGGTACTGCTCTTGGTCTCCCATGGGGTGCAGGGCCCAAGCACTTGGGCCATCCTCCACTGCACTCCCTGGCCACAGCAGAGAGCTGGCCTGGAAGAGGGGCAACCGGGGCAGAATCCGGTGCCCCGACCGGGACTAGAACCCGGTGTGCCGGTGTCGCTAGGCAGAGGATTAGTCTAGCCACGGTGCCCAGCTGACTGATTTTTGACAGAAATGCTCAGACCATAAACTGGAACAAGGATAATCTCATCAATAAATAGTGCTGGCAAGACCGTGTGTGTGTATGCATACGCGCGTGAGCACACACATACATGTAGAGGAATAACATTAGATCTTCACCTCTCATCAAGTACAAATATCAATTCAAAATGGACCAAAGATCTAAATTTAAGACCTGACTCTGAAGTTGCTGGAAGAAAATATAGGGGATACAATTAAAAACATTGGTACAGGGGACGACTCCTTGGATAATGTCCCTACAACTCAAGTATCAAAAGCAAAACAAGACAAATGGGATTATTTCAAACTCAGAAGCTTCTGTAAAAAAGGAAGCAATCAATTCAGTGAAGAGACATCTGACAGAACGGGAAAAATATTTGCAAGCTACTACTTATATAAGCTTATTACTTATGTACTATTTATATAAGCTTACTACTTATACAAGAAAGAATGTACATCCAGAATATATCAGTGATTCAAAAAACTCAACAACAAAAAATAAACAATCCAGTTAAGAAATGGGCAAAAGACCTGAATACACAGTTTTCAAAAGAAGAAGTACTGGGCCTGCGCTGTGGCATACTAGATAGGTCTCTGCCTGCTGCGCCAGCATCCCATATGGACACTGGCAAGAAGCTCCTGGTTCCTGGCTTCTTGCTTTGGATTAGCCAAGCTTCAGCTATTGGAGATATTTGGGGAGTGAACCAGCAGAAGGAAGACCTCTCTCTGTTCTCTCCCTCTCTGTGACTCTGTCTATCAAATAAATTAAAAAAAAAAAA